CATTCTACTTCTCATATCTAGACGGATCATAAAGTCATTGGCCAATGCAAAGATATATTCGTTTTGGATATCGAATATGATCGTTATGGATCATCTAGAAAGATTGAGAGACAGAAACTAAGTTATTGGAATAGACACAATATCATGTTCTAGACTTAGTTGAATGTTCGTTGATTGAAAGGGCCGTATCACTATGAACTCTATATTACAGGGAGTTTGAATAGTCCTCGCAAACGTTCTTATATATTAAGTTTGTCTGGAGAATCGTCTAGGGATTCACTGAGACCTTAATTTGATTAGTGCTTAATATATAAGGCCCTATGGGTCACACAACAAGTGATTATACTTTCCGATTGAATTGTTAGAAGGAATTAAATATTATTAATTGGATTAAATAATATTTAATTCGTAATACTGAAAATGAATTAAATATTAATTAGATTAAACATATTTAATTCATGAAGTTGAAGGAGAGTTCTATTTGATAGAATTAATTAAGTAAGATAAATTAGATTTATCATACTTAAATAAGATGTATTTATTATTAAATAAAGTAGATATTTTCTTTTGTAATTTGGAATTAAAAGAAAAGTAAATAAAATAAATATTAATATATAATAATTAGAAAGTGGCGTGCAGCCACATCTCAATTATATATTATTATTATTGTTTTGTTTTGTTTTATCTACTTATTTAATTAATTAGGAGGATTGGTCCTAGCAGGATTAGAACTCATTAATTAGAAAGACTTTCATGGTGATTGAGAAACTAGTTTAGAACTAGTATAAATACATCCTCCACCTTCATAATTAATAGACCAGTTTTTAGATCTAGTATTACCAGTTTATTTCCCTGCGAAGAGATTTTCTAGCCTTTCTCTTAGGGAGATCCAACCGTTCTTTCGGAAAGGAGAAATCACGTGGATACGTAAGGTCCAGGATTATCACCGCTAAGCTGGAAGATCTGTAAGTTCTAACTCAGATCTATTATCATTGTTATATTTGTTGTTTTGTCATAATTAAGGAAGATCTGTTTGGGAAATTTTTAAACTTCCGCTGCTATACTTTTGAGGTACGTTACATGAATTTCCTAACAGAACAGTGAATAAACAGATCAAGCTTAGAGGGTGTTGTTGAGAAGGAAATGGGTTTATGGACATTGCTGGAGGGATGTCTGCTTCTTGCCAATGCGTTGGCAATATTGAATGAAGACCGCTTTCTTGCCCGTAGAGGGTGCCATTGAAGGGGCAGATTCTTGGTCTTATCTATGCAACCCAATACTTAAGAGTGCCACTCATGCTCCTCAATATTCTCTGCATTGTTGCTAAGCTTGTATCTGGCTAATCAGTTCCAACTCCTTCAAGGTATCCTAGTTAGTCTTTTCTTCTCAGTCAAGCTTATGAATGATTTACATGTTTGTCATGCACCGGGAGGATTTATGGAGAAAATAAGGTGTTCCATATTTACTTTATATGACAACTATGGCTTATATGAAATCTAATATTTAAAATCTTATTATGGGAGATTTTAAATAGGCCCTTGGTAAATTATCAAATTGCATATTTAGTCGTTTTAGTACATGTTTTGTATGCATAAATCCACTTTCTAATTTAGAAACGTAGTACTATTTAAAAGTGTCTAAAAATTTCTAGTTGTATGCCTGGTACGACAATAATTAAGAGTTTTTTTTAAATAAAACATCTTTTTTTGAGAAGCTACATTGAGTAGTTTCTCAAAAAAGTGTGTATCTTTTAACATTAATTAGTAACAATAGCTTGTTATATCAAACAAAACTTTATCAAGCAGTTTTAATCTTTTTTTTAGATCTTTTCGATCATTAAAAACAAATACATAGTACTTACTAAAAGTCTCACAAAAATATCTTTTTAGCTAATTGTGACAAACATATTCTTAAAAACAAAACAAAAATAAAGGAGGAGTAACTCTTTTGATAAGTTATTCTCCCTATGTCGCACTATAATTATGTCATTTTTCCTTTTTCGTCCGTTCCACAAAAATTGTCCCATACCATATTAGTAATTTTGTGTCGCTCTAATTCATTCTTACTTTATCAATTCATTATCAACCACACAATTCTACTTTTCTTAAAAACCACTCCACTCTCCTTTGTCTCAATATTAGGTGGACGGAGGTAGTACAACCTACAATGAGTTACTCCGTATTTCTTCTCAATGTAACCCAACCCAGAAATCCTTTCTTTCGGTGTAACAACTAACCCACACTTTAAATATTTAGAGCATCTTTAATGGGCATGTGGATTGTACCTCTTTAAAAATGAACATGTCACTTGTATAGAAAGTCCATGGAGCTGATATGAACTTGTAAACTTTTAAACTAATTTTTACGTTCCAATGGTACAATGGATTTGAAGAATTCGTTTCCTGGACTACTTCATATAACTAAAAAAAATTCGCATTTATTCTTCTTCTACCTTTCTCCAGGGAGGCATTATCTAAAAAAACAGTTCACGTCAATTTATTTATACAGCCGCAGGTCAGTTATGTATTCCTATCTCTAGCTAGTTTGTTTAATTTTCACAGTTGCTTAATATTCTCGGAGACATATTTTTCACTTTTTTAATTTTATTTAAAACATTAAACTGAAGCTAGCGTAGATTGTTATGCATACTAAGCCATAGCCCTAATCTCTAGTCTGTTTTTCACAGTAGCTTAATCTCTATGTTCTCTTTACGTTCCTCCGTACACACACATATGCATATATATATATATATATATATATATATATATATGCCCTGCACGTTTATAATTTATATGGAAGTGGGTGTAAATGATTTATATTGATTATCTATACAAGTTATAAGCATGCTCCAGTGATTCTTTTAAAAATAGTGGTTCTTAAGAGATTAAAATATTACTCCCTCTGTCCCCCTGTTATTGCCCCATTGCGATTTTACGATGCTTGACCGACGATAAAGCAAACAGATCCCTGTCCGCACTCAAATTATTTTTAGGAAAAAAAATTATGTATTCAGAAACAACATTAAAAGATTTACAAAGTCGCAAAAAGCAGAATCAAATTTGATAAAAATTTGATACATAAAGTAAGAGATTAAGAGTGATTTGTGTTGACCAAGTGAATAGGAAATGGGACAATAACATGGGGACGGAGGGAGTACTCGGTATTGATTTCAAGCACTGAAATATTAAGGAATTATACTCAACCTTATACTTTTCTGATAAATATATTACAGGTGATATAATACAATAATGTCTTCTTCAGAGTCAGAAGTCGATAGTGATAACTCATCATCTGACGGTGATGCGTTCTCGTTGACGAATAAACTATTAGAGGAAGCATCAAAAGAAGCTGATAGTAGTTCAAAAATGACTTGTGAGTTGATTCATGGCACCACCATTCATGCCTCTACAATAGTTTCGGCAATGTTAAGAGGCAAGAAGTGTGCTAATCGAGGTACAACCAGTGGCAGGCGTTATATTCATCGTGATAGAAAGGAGCATCATGAGATGATTATTAAAGACTATTTTAATGGTGATCAGTCAAAGTATACACCGGATCATTTTCGCAGAAGATGTCGAATGGATGTGGAACTATTTACTCGCATTTTGGTAGCAGTTGAAAAGAATGATAGTTACTTCTCCATAAAACTTGATGCCACGGGAAAAGAAGGATTAACTCCTTCACGGAGAACGGTAGCTGCAGTACGAATGCTTGCTTATGGTTGTGCAGCTGATCTTTTGGATGAATATGTTCAAATTGGGGAGAGCACTGCAATTCAAAGCCTTAAACATTTCTGTGATGCTGTGATAAGTGTTTTTGAACAAGAGTATTTGAGAAAGCCAAACAAAAATGACATTTCGGTCCTTCTTCAAGAAGGAGAAGAACGAGGTTTTCCTGGTATGTTAGGGAGTCTTGATTGTATGCATTGGCATTGGAAGAATTGTCCAAGCGCTTGGCATGGTACATATACAAATGGTTTTAAACGAGTCCCGACTCTCATATTAGAGATTGTACCTTCAAGGAATTTGTGGATTTGGCATGCATTCTTTGGTATGCATGGCTGGTACTAATAATGACATAATCGTATTAGACTGATCTCCACTATTTGATGATATTATAAATGGTGTTACACCACCATGTAACTATGTAATTCAAGGTCATCATTATGATATGGGGAATTTACCCAAAATATGCCCGTTAATGCAGTCTCTCTCTCTCTCAGTCATCTTCTCTTGAAGAGAAAATATTTTCTGAGCGCCAAGAATCAACAAAGAAGGATGTGGAGTGTGCTTTTGGAGTTTTACAAAGTAGATGACATATTGTTAAAGGTCCCGCACGTATGTGGAAGGAAAAAGATTTGGAGAAGATAATGAAGACTTGTATCACCTTGCATAATATGATCATTGAGAGTGAATGTAGCCAAGGAATGAATCCTGAAAATTGGCAACCTCTTGGAGATGAAATGGTTGAAAATGTGGAATTAGAACGTGTTTATAATTTTAATGTCTCTAGAATGATCGGAAGAATGAAACAAGTTCAAGACAAGAGAGTTCATAAAGATTTGAAAAATGATCTCATCAATCATATATGGGAACTATATGGTGGTCAACAAGTAAGCTAATATGAAAGTAGATGTTTTAATAAGAAAGTATAATAGTAGTCATTGGAGTTTAATTTTGTTTCAATGAATGATGTTCTACGCTTAATCATTACTCTCTAGATTGTGTCTGTTTTTCATAAAATTATTTATTTTTTAAATTGATTATTTTCAATATAAGTTAGTTGTTATTGTAATGTTTTTTAATTTATTATTTTAAACTGTTGATTATTTAGAATTATAAAAATCTTACCGGGGAAGTTGTGTTCTTCAAGGGTAAATCTTTTTTTACTATGTTGAAAGTTCAGCTCTTAAAGAGAAATTCATTAGCTTTTTGTATAGCCATTTTAGTTGAAGAATATATACATCATGTGGCTGAATTCCCATCTGATGTGCACTTTTCCTTCACAGATAACTTGCGTATAAATATTTAATTCAGCAAAGGTTTTTTTTATAGAAATATACAACTTGATAAACAGCCTTAATTAATATCAACACTTCGGACAGATACATCTAGGGTGATCAAGGGTCATTCTGTGAGAACCAAAGCATCACACATACTGATAAAATGATTGAATTGCTCCTTAGAGCAAGCATGCCCTAGTAAAACTGGTTCAACCAAATTGAGGTGAGGATGAAGAAGAGCTCAATGAAAACAACTCCGAATGAGAGTATGCCTCCAATCAGAACAGAGAAAATTGGGTTCATATACCAAGCTTGCTCTCGGATTTGCCTAGGAACTTTAGTAGTCTTCACAGGCATGACTGAGTATAATTCCCGGCTTGGGCGGATCGAGCGCAAAGTCTTCTACCTCCTCGGTATGCCTTTCAGCAAACACATGATGTAGTAGAATTCCAAAATACCAAAGCAAACACAAATTCATAAAAAATAAATAACTAGTCTTCACACATAATGTTTCCAATCTTCCAGCAAGTATTGCTATTTAGCTTCCTCAAGACTTGAGCTTCTTTAACTGTAATTCACACCTGCCACACAATAAAAGTATGATCAGTTTTTAAATAATTTATTTTTCATAACTATTATTAGTAAAAGTAAGTACAGAAAATGGTACAAAAACATTCAATTACCAAAAGACCATCCTTTTCCCATTCCTTTAAAATCTGAGCTTGATACATCTCAAATGTCTCTCTAACTCTTACGGGAAGTTTGGTGACATCTTGATTCAGAAATCAGAATACGCTCTTGTTCTTGTCTCTTTTGAACTTTCTCCTTAAACTTTTGAGCAGCCTCTTTTAACTGTTGATCCTTTTCCTTTAACTGTTGATCCTTCTCCTTCGATTTTTGAGCATGTTCTTTTAGCTCCAACTCTTTTTCCATTATCTTTTCTCATAATTCAAAGTCTTTTAAGTCCTTTTCCCTCTTCATCTTCAGCTCTTCCAGAGTAATACAAATCCGTTTTTCCATTGTAGTTTGTAAGTTATTCAAAGCATCAACTACAAATTTTTCATCATTCAACCTCCTCTTTTTTTCTTTAGTAGCCTTTCTTCCTTCAGGGCGTTCAATATTATTGCATTTACCATCAGCATTATCATCTACATTAGTACACTTTTCACCTTCATTACCTGAACTCCCTGGTTGGGTTGGTACTTGGGTATCACCACTTCCATTGGTAGCTTTCTGCTTAGAGTTATCTTTGGTCTTAGTAACCTCCTTTACGCACCATTTTGAATTTGTTTTCATGATCTCCCTACAATGTTCATACTTGGAAGACTGGCCATTATTAATATCTTCATACATGTGCATTGCCTCTCGCCTCTACAAATAAAAATTCAACTCTTGAGCATAGATTAACACACTCAAACATCACACGTGAAACAAGGCAAATTGTGATATTTAAAAGGAAATTAGAATAAAAATATAACAATGTACAAAGAGCAGTAGAAAGTAAAAATTACCATATCTTCTTGGCTTGCTCCACTCTTCGGCTGCCTTTGTAATCGTTCATATAAAACATGGAATTTATTCACTGCAGCTACGATCTTACCCCAACAAGCTTGTAAGCCATTTGTTGTGTGAGACTCATCATAAATTCCCATATTCTCCCTTCAAACATGGAAGATATGATTCCACATATTAGTAATTTTTTATTGTTACCAACATCAACATCAACAAAAATATATAGCCATGCCTTTGTTAGTGCTACATCTTCATCTTTGTTGCCTCCTACTATGTGAGAGATAAATAACCTAGCTATTTAAAGTTTAAAACTACCTTGATTTGTTTCCCAAAAAGTGATCATAAAGTATTATAAATAGGACCAACTAACAAACTGGATAATTCAGTCCTTAATCCCCTAGTAATGCTGAAAAAATGGGAAAGGATTGAATTGAAGCTTTACTTTTGTTTCTAAAACATCATCAATGTTGAACTTCATAATCTGACATATATTAAAGAGCACCATTATCAAATTCTAGCTTTATATATTTGCTTGAGTTTAGGTTCCTCTTTACATTCATCAAGGACGATTATGACTGACATTTCTCCTCTAAATTTCTATTTGATGGGGCATCCGTAATCTAGTAATAAATCTAGTGGCAGTTATTATGTCTATTGTAGTCTTGGGTGCTCTCTCTAAACCTGTATATGTCTCTTGAATTATAATCATCAGTTGAAGACCTATCCTTATTTTGACTTGGCCTGTACCTGGGGCTTCTCAGCAGCCAGTTATTACCCTGGAACCTCACAACCACAAGTTCCTAGTACATGAATATCCCAAGCACAAACATCAAATGGTGAAAATAAAGCTGATGCTGGAAGTACTATTAATCAAGCACATGGATGTATTAGCAGAAGGATAAGAAAGTGCCTGGAAGACTTTGGAGTTTCACGAAAGATGCAAAACTGATGCGGAAAGCGGATGTGATGCGCAGAGCCGATGATGAGAGCAGATGCGTAGACAATGTGGATAAGAAAGTATGGAATAGGAATTTGAGGAGAAACTTTTGAAGCTACAATTTTTTGATTTGGCAGAAATGTTTTCACTTGCCCGCCAAGAAATTCTGTGGGTGATGAATTTTTGGCTGAGTCACGCTGTGGAGGAGGCTTGCTGAAAGTAGAAGGTCGGGTTGAGGGTGTGCGATATTTTCAAAGCCAACTCGCAACGCAGGGTTTACGCACATTGCCGCCGGAGTAAGTAATTTTATCCTAAAATCTATTTAACTGATGTGGCAATGCATTTTTAAACAATGCATTCTCCCACTAAAGATGATCTTATGCATATAGACATAATTTATCTAGAGTTGGGGCATCGATATATGATCTTCGCGAATACAACAACTAAGTGGCTGGCAATACATCTTATTATTTATCGTCAGCCTTCTGCCGACAATCCATTCAAATCTCTCCGGGTTCCTCAGTCTACAATAAAGAATCCTCTTTCTTCTCTGGCGCACAGCTGATCCTAACATTTTATGGCCCATAGTATATTTTTTGTTAAAGGCCTTTGAATAATGTAAATTTGGATATTAAGATTTGTAAGAAGTAATTTAGTTAATATGCCTACATCATATAATTAATCCCACATAGCTGCATGATATTATTTTGATTAATATTTTTTGTGTCGTTGTTATTTTAATAAAATAGAAAAAATTGTATATACAATACTAGAATACAATTATTTATGGGCTCTTTTTTAGTATTACATCTAAACTACTCATTCCAATAAGATACACAACCGTGCCGAGATACATGAGGCCTCCGAGATGACGTTGCATGTTCTCATAGCACTCATTGCCTCATTAGATAATGGTGTCGCCCGCTTATATAAAAATACACTATGCTTGCATATTTTTTGTACACAATTTGCATTTTTATCAAATCATTTACACCAAATTTCTATATCAGCGAATAATACACATTTGTACAAAAATATATCATACTTGCATATTTTCACACTTAGTTTACATAAATGTGGCACATGCAATTTACATTTTGCATACAATCACTTACATATTCGACAAGCGCAATATACATTTTTTATAAAGACATTTATACCAAACATTTAACATTTGTATTAATAAGTATTACATTTATATGTTAAGCACATGCTTGTGAAACATTTATAATAAAATTGGTGTTAAATTTGTTATACTTTTATGTAAATGTCATTTGAGCCACCATATGTTTAGTTAACCCAAAAAACTTGTTGTTTACCTGATAAAGCCCCCATTTTGAGCGTTTTTAAATGTTTGGTGGAATCTATTGTTTAATTGAGTGTTTATGAAGTACACCAATTAGCCTCAAATGAGAGTAAAAATACTCATAATGCAATAATAAGACAACAATATTTTAATCCCCAAAATAGGAGTAATGTAGGTTCCTTCTTCCTATTCTAGCCTCTTCCTATAATCCCTAATAGATTTATTATATTAATAAGAAAATCATATTTTTATTTATAATAAAAATATAAAATAATAAAAATATTTATAAATTAAAAATAAAAACGATAACAAATAAATGAATAAAATACAAAAATAATTAAAGAGAAAAGGATCAAATAAGGCCTTCTACTATTATGAAATAGTCACATAAGGCCATGTACTCAATAAAGTGTCATATAAGTACCTCTACTTGTATAAAACAATCAAATGAGTCATAACGGCTTTTTTAACACCTCCTAATCCCGATATTAGCTTACATGTCGATTTTTTTTAGTTGTATTTCAACTAATCTTAGTTAAATATTCGACATAAGTCGTATAATGTATTCTAAAAAGATGGTCAGAAGTACGTTGAAACCGGGGTAAAGAGGTGTTAAATAGGTCATTAGGACTCATTTGATTGCTTTTTACAAGTAGAGGTACTTATATGACACTTTATTGAGTACATGGCCTTATGTGACTATTTCATAATAGTAGAAGGCTTTATTTGACCCTTTTCTCATAATTAAACTTTCAAAAAATACCTTTAAAATTATTATTATTATTACTCACTCTGTCCCTTATAACTTTGCCAACTTTCTTTTTTTGGATGTTTCACTAACTTTGTCACTTTCCCTTTTAAGTAAAGAATTTGTGGTTCTAGTTAATTCTCTCTCCCCGTGCATAAACCTCAACCACACAGTTTTTACTTTATTAATCAACGTGCCAGTCAAAGATGACAAAGTTATTAGGGACGGAGGGAGTATTATTATTACACACATATAATAATAATTTTTAGGTATTTTTTAAAAGTCTAATTATTTTTGTATTTTATTCATTTATTTCTTATCGTTTTTATTATTACTCCGTAATTTATAAATATTTTTTATTAGTAGTCTTCCTGTCCAGCCGGCCTGACGGGGAACTGCCATCCGACCGAGGCTGTTTCGAGCCCTTACCGGTGCATCCTCTACCACTTCATCCTCTACCTTCTAGCATCACCAGCTACGATCGTCGGGAAAAAAATGTCATCTTGTGTTAGAAATGCCACATTCCTCTGAAAGTGTCATGAAGAGGACATTTTTTACTTTTTGAAAATTAATATGTAACTTTGATTTCAAAACTTTCATCTCAATGATTCTTTTTAAGTTGACATTTTTACTGCGATCGGAGGTGACAGTGCTTGAAGGTGACTGAGAAGGTGATTGCGATCTATATATTTTTATTTATTTTTTCCGATTTTTTATGTTCTACTACTATGTATTACTCCGTATAATTGTTTAAAAACATCCTACTCCGTATTACACATGATTTTTTGTCTTATTTTAGAAATTTAAAAAGTATGCTTCACGGGAATTATTAGGGAAAATGGTTGTAAATAGGAGTAAAAAAGACTAAATGTGCACACGTAGGACTATTCTTGTTTTAAAACCTAAATAGAACTAAATTTTCATTTTGTTCCAATATTACCCCTGCATTTACTTCAACCGTGCAGCACCCCACTGGCCCCTTCATTTTCCGCTCAAACTTGCGCAAGTTTGGAACAATGGGCAACTTCGACGAACTGAAGCAAGCAACGGTCAGCGACGACGAGCAACAACAAGCGGCGGCGAGTGGTGAAGGTGTGGCGACAAGCGGCAGCAAGTGGCGAGCAACAGCAAGGAGCGGCGGCGAGCGTTGAGCAATGGCTGGCGACGATCTCAAGTTCAGATCTGTTTTGGAATTCAGGTTCGTTGTTCCCCTGTCTTGCTTCTTCTTCGTCTTCCTCGATCACTCCTCTGTATTCCATATCATCTTCCTCATTTGCTTTATTTTTTAAAAAATGTCAAATTTTATTTAAAAATGCCATTAAAATGGCATTTTTACTCTTCAAAAATGCCCATCTTCTAAGTGCCCTCCTTTTGTTTCACCTTTTTGTCACACGAGGAAAGCTCAGTTTTATATTTGGTGGTTAAAAAATTTCAACTTTATTCTGAAATGTCATGAAAGTGGCATTTTTACTCATAAAGAAATTCATATTTTCCTTTGAAAATGTCATTTAGATGGCATTCTCGATTTATGATGGCAATCTGATAAAATTTTTGGCATAAGGTCGGATCTGCATCGGTGGATGCTGGTTATGCAGTAGCGGAGGCGGGATCTGCAGCGATGGAGGCCGGATCTGCAACGACGTAGGCCAAATCTGTAGGGACGACGGCCGGGGGTCGGAGGCGGCCAGATCTGTCCAGATCTACGGCAGCGGCGGACAAATCTACAGTGACAACGACCGGATTTGTAGCAGTGACCGGTTCTGCGGCGGCGATCGGAAACCGACGGTTCATCGGCAGTTCGAGCTTCTGTTGGCAAGAGTTAGTTTTGCTAAGTTTGAGGGCATTTTTATCTGGTTACAAATAATAACTCCTATTTGGGAAAATTTTAAAATTTACTCCTCTTTTAGCAATTGATGATTTATTTACTCCCATTTAGGTAAATCCCTTGAATTATTATTGTTATTTCACTGGAATTTCCCTACCCGGTCAACTTCAGAGTCGTGCTTATGTCACCATCTGCTTCGACCTTCAAGCTCTCCTGTTGGTCATGGACACTCATATGCCGATGTTTAATGAGATTCCCCAATTTTAAGATCTCTTTCGCCTCTCTCACATCGCCTCTCTCACATTTGAGGGACCCAAAAAAAGCTATTACTCCGTAGTATATTACTCCTTAATTAATTAATTATCTGGAGTCTCAAAGCATCCGCCTAAGTGCAAGACCAAAGTCTTGAACCTGCGTTTCCAAAATCCGCAAGACGCGAAGGCCGTAAATCCCAAGTCGCCGACCGGCGACCGCGACGCCCCGAGCCACTTCCCACTGTCCGAACGCCTCGCCGCCCACCGCCGTGTGGCCGACCTGTGAGTTCTCTGAGTTCTCTCCTAATTAGTGAAATATATACTCTAAAGTCTTAACTTTAAACATAAAAGGCCTAAAGGATTAAAGCCTGAAGCCTAAAGTTGTAAACCAGACCGCAGTCTAGCAATTAAGGCAATTTTTTTACTGTTTGAGGTCAATTCCTAGATTACTATTTAAAATTGTTGGGTTAAATTTTTATATTGATGAATTGATATTTGTTATTGTGTGTATCTGATATTAATTGATAAATACATAGAAATAATTTATTTGATGTTCTTGGTACTGTTAAAGTAGTTATTTTGTTTGGTTTGTTATTGTATTTAAAAGTTTAGGTTTTTGTTAATTGATTTGCTCGTGATTTTTGTATCTATAAATATGTAAGTATTGTCATGATGGGAAAGCAACAAATTGTTTCGGGATATACAAAGAGAAAGAATAAGTTGCAGAGAGAATTGTTATACAATCGCTTTCCAGCTCTATCATTTGAAAAAAGGTGTTAGCTAGTCTTGATTGCCGTGATATTATTAATGATTTGCACTTCAAAAGGCAAGAAGAATATCAAAAACATTTTATCGTAGATTTTGAATATGTTTCTTCATATGGTGTTTTTGTTCAATTTATCTTATTTTCAATATGATTTGCGCATAATAAGTATTTATTTGTCTGGGGCCTTCCGAAATGCTAAAGACGCCGCTGTTCAGGATATTCTCACTATTCTCTGTCGTGTCACATTCATCAATTGGTAATGTCAAACACTGTTCCCATCCCAAGCGGCATGTACAAGTTAGGCTTCATCGGAGCAGGAAAGTTGGCAGAGAGCATTGCGAGAGGCGTAGTCAAATCGGGTATATTGCCGCCTTCTCGTATTCGAACTGCCCATTGCGGCTCCACTCGCCGTGCTGCCTTTGAATCATTTGGTGTCACCGTCTACGACCAAAACAAGCAGGTTTGGTCTTTGCCTCTTGTTTTTTTTGACAAAGACATGATCTTCGGGCTAATTCTTGGTTCCTCTCACATAGTCACATTGGACTGTTTGGTTCTTCAAAAGATTGCTTTTTGTCTCCAATTAAAAGTTTTTTTTTTATTAGTCAAATAGTTCCCAACAATTGATGATATATTTGGATTGTATATGAAGGACAGGTTGTTGAAGATAGTGATGTGATCATATTCTCTGTGAAGCCTCAAGTTGGTAGGATTCCCATTCTGGTCATTAGTGGTAGTATTAATTTATCATCAGTAACTAAGAAATTTTTCTTAGCTGATAATCCATTAGAACTACAGAATTTTACATCAAAGTAGTAATCTTTGCACCTTGTATAGCCTGTAGTCTCTCTGCAGGTTATGTGGTTCCACTTCTGCTTACAGCTAGAATGCAACCTTCGTGATTTTGTGCTCAATAGTATCCTAGCAAAAAAATGAAAGTGAATGTTCATATGTTTGTCGAAAGAAATCAAAATTACTGACATCTTTATTGTGCACATAACAGATACCTTTCCATGTAGCACTTCCTTTTTTTCATGATTCCCCATACCTTCCTTGTCGCAGTTAAACACGTGTTATTAGAACTGAAGCCTGTTTTTACTGAGAAACAACTTCTGGTGTCAGTTGCTGCAGGTGTCAAATTGATAGACTTGCAGGTTTGTGTAGTAGTTTAGCTCACTTCTTGGCCATATAATCAGTTTTAATAATGATTTGTAAATCAAGCTGTGACCCTGTGATGCCTCCCTTTGCTCTATTGTTCTTGATGAATTGATTATCAATGCCCCCCTTATCGACTTCGTTTTTTGGTAGTTGATCATGTCATATTACCTTCTTCATGTTTTCTTGGTTTACTTGGCTTTTTTTCTTAGTTAAAGAGTCAGAGCGTAGTCTAAGTGACACACAGTCACTTAGAGGTGGGTTGAGACTTGAGAGTGACAGTGTCTTTAGACTACTGAGAAGTTAATGCTATTTCAGCTATGCAATCTCCCTAAACATTACCTGGTCCAGTAAATGGACTACATTTTTATTTCCATGGTGTAAGAAGAATAGTCTGCTGTAGCTATGTAATAATTATTCCTAAGCTGTGGTTATTGTATAATAATATTTTTTTATTTCCTTAATAATATCTTCTGCACACATGCTAGATTATTCCAAAGGTTAGGGCTCTTAAATCTTAATTCAGCCTGTTACTTTGATTCCTACATATGAAGATGGTCTTTCAATAATTAACACTCATCAAAAGGAAAAAAGCATTGCATGTAAATGATATGACTTCCTCAAACCATATGAGCGAAAAAATAAATACTTCCCTATTTTCCTTTGTGTGCATATATTAAGATGATTTCCTCAATTAATTATGTTGATAATGTTCTCCTGATACTTTCAATATTTAATCAATTAACTCAAGTGGTTGGTTGTTTTGCAAGGAATGGGCAGATAATAGTAGATTTATTAGGGTGATGCCAAACACTCCGGCAGCTGTTGGCGAGGCAGCTTCTGGTATGTTTTACATTTTCTGCCAAGGGCATTGAGAGGCTTGAAGTGACACGCATATGGTGATCCTTAACATGTTTTGCCAAGAACTTAAGACTTGCCTAATAGAATTTTTACCATGAAATCATGTTATTTTCTTATTTTTTCGGGTTGGAATGGGTAAAATAATAATCTAACTTTCTCATGAATCATTTGCTTACATTCATTTTACTACAACTACTACCATCTTCTTAGCGCGGGAAGTGCATCATTTTTAAATAAAATGTCTTAAATAGTGATTAGCATGGGGAATGGGGCTTTAAAAGAAGACGGAGAACTGATCTCATTGCTGTTTGGAGCTATTGGGAAAGTGTGGAAAGCTGATGAGAAAGTGTTTGATGCAGTCACTGGTCTAAGGTATGTATGTTGCTCCTTTTACTTATCAATTAATCTTTACAATGGAAACTACTGTCCAAGGATTCCTTGCATTTCTTTTAAATTATGGAGAGCATTTATATATTTATAGAAGTTACTCAATATAGGATTAAAACATACACAGAGTTCAAAAATAGGACTAGGTATGTTCCATTCCCCAAATAGGACTTATTTAGTCCTATCAAAAGAATAGGTTGATCAAAACTTCCCAAAAATAGTCCAATCAAAAGAATAGGTTGATCAAAACTTCCCAAAAGTAGTCTTATCAAAAGAATAGGTTGATTAAAACTTCCCAAAATATGAGTGAATGCATCCTATTTTGGGAATAAAATAATGTTAGTCCTATTTATGAATTTTATCCTTGTTTGAGTTGTAGTGGAAAATAAGTTTTAATAATACCAACCATCACCTATAAACGAATAATAATACATCATTTGGAAACAATTTTTAATATTACCGGCTACTTAAATATATATGACAACAATCAAGCCTTATTTCTAAAACAATTTGGGGTCGGCTAACATGAGTCGATTATATCGTAGCTAAAAAAGACAAAAAAGACAAAAAGATAACAATAAAATAAAAAAGATAAGATATGATAAAAAAGATAAAATCAAAATTAAATATATAACAAAAATAATATGGAGGCACTTTTTGACTAGAGATCCCAGACATTTGAGACAGTAAAACTGATATCAAACCATCGAATAAAGGATATTTCGAATTGGGGTCACTCATTTGATATCAGTTCTGGATGAGTTAAATGACTGAATTTTAGTGGCAAATTGACTTGTATCACTTTTGTTATATATTCAAATAGTTGTATTGTTAAAAAAACATTTCTATATTCTAAAGTACGTAATATTCTTGGTTGACAGATGAGTTTGTACTCCGTATTATTTAAACTTACTTTCCCTTTATTTATTTGTTTAAAAGGGATTATTCCAAAATACTTATGCACAACGACATAATTGTATATAATAGTCAATGTCAACACCACCACCACCACCACCATAGTCACTAAGCTGGTCAAATATGGTCGGTCACTACACTGAGGTTACATTTTTTATGCATCACTTTTACTTGATTAATACATTGTCATTATTTGTTACTTAAACCAGTGGAAGTGGACCAGCATACATATATTTGGCCATAGAGGCATTGGCTGATGGAGGGGTAGCTGCTGGTCTTCCTCGAGACCTTGCACTCGGTCTTGCTACTCAAACTGTATGTTCATTGTCATTGTACTCTCTTTTTCTCCATATCACAAACATTTTTGTGATTTTTATTCTATTTTAAGACAAAAATGTGTAATGTGGCGGCAGGTACTGGGGGCTGCAACTATGGTGGCCAGTAGAGGGAAGCACCCAGGTCAACTTAAAGATGAGGTAGCCTCAGCTGGTGGCACCACTATTGCCGGGATTCATGAGCTGGAGAAGGCTGGGTTTCGCGGGGTATTGATGAATGCTGTTTTAGCTGCAACTAAGCGCAGTCGAGACCTTTCCCAGAACTAGTTAACAATTTTCCTGTCAGCTCTAGATTATTTGTTCTACAAAGTCAGAAAGCAACTGTTCTCTTTCTCTTTTTATTTATTTATTTATTCATTTCTTATTGATAAACCGAGGCCATTTGAGTCTACAATAAACAATCCCAGAACTAGTTAACAATTTCCCCGTCAGCTCTAGATTATTTGTTCTACAAAGTCAGAAAGCAACTGTTCTTTCTCTTTTTATTTATTTATTCATTTCTTATTGATAAACTGTTAGAACCCTCCAGCAAAACAGTAGAAATTAGTAGTTTATTGATGAGGTTTTCAGAACTTCAACCGGATTACAATGGCGTAAACAGAAAGAAAGAGAAGAAATTAGATATTCTGAAGAAATCAGAATGAGACACTTCCAGCAGTCCCCTCTCCCAAGTCCAAAGCCTAATTCCAATTTCTGTCTAACCTCCCCCTCTCCTCCCTCTCACTCATACTAATTTTATTCTTAAAGGCCGACCCAAGCCCATATACATGGCCCAGAACCCTTATTTTTACTCTACCACCATTATTTAATATCACTCTATTACTATTATCAATAATTTTCTTCAGCCTGGGATCCTATCATATCTCCCCCCTTATACAACCACCTTGTCCTCAAGGTGGGTGATAGGAAAAGGCCTTGATCGTCAACTTCATTTTCATCCTGGTGTCTCTTCCTTCCCAATATGATAATTAACAAGATGATAATTTAAGCTAAATTTGAAATGAATATCAGCTCAATGATTTGAATTTATCATATCTCAAAGTGAATTTAATTATAATTCCTTCAAAAACCTTTTACTTCCAATTTTATTACTCCCAAATACAAAGAAGGGCTTCCTCACCCTCCCCTCCCTTTCCCCTCCAAGAACATACCTTCAAAGTCTTCTCATCCTCTTCCCTCTAAACTCCCAAATATACCCTAAGGATAAATGAGGATATACATTATAGCTGTATTTTTGTCTTGAAACTGAAGTTCAAGGCAATTTAACTTTTGTAACGTGAACGTTTGTGCTTTTCCTATAGCTCACTCTATTTACAAGCCTAGCTAATATATTATTGATCTTTAAAAATATACTCAACAGTCAACACTACCAAACTTATATATTGGGGAAACTAACATAAATAGAGGGAGTAAAATATTTCCTAATCGTCAAACATTTACATACTATACCCGTCTATTTTTAGAGAAAATTATCTCTCGTATGACTAAAACTATATAAGTTTCCCAATGTATGACTTGTTAGTTATTATTCTCAATATATGATACACGGATGTATGCATGGACATTCACAATTCTTTTTATTCTTCGACTATCCTCAAGCTTAAATATAGGAACTCGTTTATTAATCCTATTTAACTGCTTGTGAATGCACGAATAAAGCAAAACGTGTATTCATTATTGGTCTTCCTAAATAAGGAGAGGAGTTATTCGTATATGGTAACTGCTATTAGTACTACTCAATACCCACATTTTCCTATTCTGATGCTTTAATAACATGTACGGTAGTTTATTGAATATTCTTCCTGATTTTTATTTAAATTCACGGTTGCCCTCTAATCAATAAATATGGAGAGTATTTCTCCTATTTTCTTGCATATGATATGAACGATTGGCTACACATGCATAACAAATACTCCCTCCGTCCCTTAAAACTTTGTCATCTTTCCTTTTTGGGACGTCCCAAAAAACTTTGCGACTTTGCATAGAGGGACTGTACATTTAAAACAAAACCGAGGGTGAATCAATATTAAGCAGAGCAACCTGGCGGCTTTCAAACGCCATAACCCTTTTGGATCCTGATGCCATGCACTGCCAGATGCATACTGGGAAACTGACAAGTGAAAAGATAGATGTGCATTGATACCCAGCAGTCCAGCACCACTTGGGAAAAGGGAAACTTCAGTGTTGGGTTCAGTGATCAAATGCAATCTTGTTTTCTCCAAGCCAGAGCTGCTGCCGATCATATAATAGTGAACTTGGCCAGATTTATGCCCAATAGCAACACTCAAAGAAGTAGTGAAAGAGTCTAGAGCTGTTGTTGCTGCACTAGTACTAATGCTCTCCAAGCTCTTTTCCTTAGATATCTCCAAACTTATTAAAAGCGTAAAAAAGCGTCAAAAAGCGTAAAGCGAAAGCAAGCGATGGACCTGCGCTTCGCTTCCCATCGGCGCGACTCTGTGCGAAAGCGCTCGCTTTCTTCCGCTTTTCCCGTAAGCGATGCCTTCATAAAGTGGTCGCTTTCTTCCGCTTCTCACAAAAAGCGATTGGCCGGTCAACAATTAGAAATTTTTTTTAGTCTGCACTCTGCGATTACGATTACTAGGGTTGAGTCCATTTAGAGAAAGACAAATCGATCGTTCATCTACAGAGCTGCGACAACCAGAAAGCTGTGATCGTTCATCGTTCGTTCTTCTCTTTCTGTAGCCGACAACCAGAAGACCTCTCCAGAGCTGCTAGCCTGCGACAACCAGAAGACTCCTCCAGGTATTCCTTCTCGATCGAATACTGTTGAAGTGCTGAGGTAGTCTTCGTTTACTCCTCCAAGTTTTTATTCAATCTTCGTTTTTATATGTTGAGGTAGTATTTCTTTTTACTGCTGAATGATCAACGATGATATCAACGCATTTCTACAGGTTTTTATTCAATTTTATTTTATTTCCGGTGTTTGTGGCGTATATACTCTGTTTTTTTATTGTGGTTGATTTGTTTACTCTTTCAATTTTAACGTGTCTTTAAGCATTTATACAGTTGTATATTCTTCACTTTGAATTTTTTTGGTTGATTTGTTTTAATTTTGTATTTTTTTTATTGTTCTATACTTTATATTTTCATATTCTTCTTGTATAAAATTCACTTTGAATTTTGTGATTGATTTGCTTTAATTTTGTGTTATTCAGTGTGTCAGTGTGTGTTTTAATGAGCTTAAGATAGTATATTACTAATACTTGGTAAAAAAGGGCAGAGAATATGAGCTTATGGATTTTTGACATAAGTATACATTATATATTATATTTTCTTTAATTTTTTTAAGCATAGATTTTTGTGAGAAAGCTACGCTTCGCTTAGCGCTATCGCTTTGAATCAAAGCCCAGGATCATCGCTTTTGGACGCTTTTCGCTTTAAAAAAGTTTGGATATCTCCCACATAAGTGACAAAATTGGGCACGTAGCCTTCACCTCAGATGAGAAATCATAGGCAGCCAACTGTTTATAGAATGTGTTGATTTCTTCATGAGGATTGATGTGGATCAAACTAAGAGATGCTTTCTCTGAAGGCCCGTTCAGCATTTCAAATAGTTGTAGAGGAAATGAAGTATCTGGAGGCTCCTGCACACGAGTTGTCTGTGATATTGCAATTGAATGATCTTGCATTAATGCTCCGGTCAGAGGTTGTGTTGATTTATGACCTGAAACACTTTTACTTCTCCATGGTGGCCAAACTACACCACTGACATCCAAGTGTACCCCAAATTCTTCAAAATTAATTCCATAATGAAGCCAATACTTTATTCCCCAATGCTCAAAGCTTGAACTACCAGCATGAAGCGCTGGAACTCTTTGGCTTCTGGAATTAGACAAGGAAGCTGAGGCATACTTCTCACCTATCATTGTGGCCATTGCTGTTTGTGCAACCTCGCCAGTATGAACTTTACTTCTTGATATAGCATATTCACTAATTCCTGAGCCAAAATGATTAAAGGGAGAGCAAAGAGAAGTACTGTGAGAGGAAATGAAGGCAACCCTGTCATCCATAACCCTTTTCATATCTGCCACTCGTCCCACCTCAGAACTATCATGTGAACAAAGTGAAGGAAGATACAAAACTCAAAAGGGTTCCAGTACATCACACCACCACCAAAGGAGGGTTTATTTTTCACACCAAGACACCCATGAACCTCCAATTCTTCTTTTGTGACCGACGGACTGTGTGGTCTCTTCAGCAAATAGAAATTCTGAAAGAGAATTACACCATGCACATAAGCTTGCCCCCACAAAGCATTTCCGATTACAATTTCAAAGTCAGTTCAGCATTGATTTTGACTGATATGAATTTGGTTATCTCTCTCCTATCCATGCTTTCGGAATCGTTATCTGTTGCAGCCATAATCTCTTCATAGTGCTTGATCTTGTTCCATTCTATCATCATTCCAACATCAAAATAACCAAGAGGTTCATCCTTAACAACAAACTCGGGAGGTTTCATATCTCCCCTACACAAATAAACTGCCTGTCCTAGGCCTGTAGGTTGATTAACATCCTCTTCGGGGTCTGATTCCATAACTGATGGTGCAACCTGCTTCCATTTTGTGTTCCTTGTTGTTGGTAGAGTCCCTTGGGGTCCCTTTCCTGATGCGACTAGGTCGAAGGTTCTGGAAGAGAATGAATCTGAAGCGGATGAGCTGTGAGATACGGCGAGTGAGTCGACCTGCGAACTGACAATATCTGCACGCAGTGAAGCCAGAGGACTAGAACAAGAAGGAGTTGCTTGCAACAGAGAAGAAAGTTGCGAACTCAGAACAACTGATAGCAACGAAGTTTGCGAACTGTGAGGCGTGGCTTGAATTGCCATCTGCGAACAAGTAAATGAAGGTAGCGATTGCGAAGAAGTTCGCCATTTCGATCTTTGAGACGAAGATCGCGACTGAGAAGAGACTTGCGATTGCGAAGATGTCCGTGAACTACGGGATGCAGTTCGCGATTGCGAACTAGGAAGAGCAACGAACGAAGACACCAGATTATTTTCAATCGGCTGATGGTGTCTAGGAGGGCTCCTAGCTCTGTCTCTATGCCGCTTGAGTCTGTGACGAATTTTGCCCAACATATGACGCATCTCCCTTAGCCCAATCACTTTCAACCTTTTCTGCCAGCTTCTCTCCTTTTCCGCGCGAAGCATCCTGATCAGATCTTCCCCGCTGCCTGCGCGGGTCCTTTCCTCTTTGCGTACACTGGAGCTTCTCCATGTTCGCGCATAACTTTTCCTTGCTGGTGCGTTTCTCACTGTTCACGCGCAAACCAGATGCGGCCAGTTACGACTGTCGATGTTCTTTGCGCAAACAAGAGCTCTTCTCCACGTTTCCAGGCGTCGAATGCTCTGATACCATTGTTAGAACCCTCCAGCAAAACAGTAGATATTAGTAGTTTATTGATGAGGTTTTCAGAACTTCAACCGGATTACAATGGCGTAAACAGAAAGAAAGAGAAGAAATCAGAATGAGACACTTCGAGCAGTCCCCTCTCCCAAGT